AGAGGGGAGAGAGTTCAGCATCCTGACTGCGGAACCTTCTCCCTGAAGGCAGGAGGCTTAAGAGGCTGTTGGAGGGGTGGGTGGAGTCACCCACAATGCTGGGTGCTTATGCCCACAGGCTGTGTGAGTCCCTGCTATCTTTGAAATGTCCTGTAATTTTCCGGTTGTATTCTTGTTTTGCTTTCCTGATGCCACGGGACAGGTCAGCCCCAGCTGGATCTCCAGCTCTGAAGGCGATGTTGCGGGCCTTCAGCAGCGTGTGGACCTCCCCTGTCAGCCATGGCTTCTGGTTGGCCCTGTTGGTGATGGATCTGATGTGGGTCACATCGTCAATGCATTTGGTGATGTAGCCCATGACTGTCTCTGTGAATTATTGTGTGTTGGTGTGATGGTTGTATGTGGCTGCCTGCTTAAACATGTCCCAGTCTGTAGTGTCCTCTGACCACACCCGTACCTGTTTTGAAACCGGTGTGGTAAGGCAAGGCAAGTTTATTTATATAGCACCTTTCAACACAAGGCAATTCAAAGTGCTTTAGAAAAAATGAAAGACATTAAGAAAATGGCATTTAAAAACAGTCATTAAAAAGCAAAGATAATAAAATAAACATTAAAAGAAAAAATACATGGATAAAAGTTACAGTGCAGTTTAAGATGTGAATAGTTCAATTAAAAGCAGCGGCAAAAAGAAAAGTCTTCAGCCTGGATTTAAAAGTAGTCAGAGTTGCAGCGGACCTGCAGGTTTCTGGGAGTTTGTTCCAGATATTTGCAGCATAATAACTGAATGCTGCTTCTCCATGTTTAGTTCTGACTCTGGGGACAGAAAGCTGACCCGTCCCTGAAGACCTGAGAGTTCTGGATGGTTCATTATTTAGCAGCAGGTCAGAAATGTATTTTGGGCCTAAACCATTCAAAGCTTTATAAACCAGCAGCAATATTTTGAAATCAATTCTTTGACTCGAGCAGCAGCGTTCTGAATCAGCTGCAGCTTGTGAAGACACCATTACAGCGACCTTGGGTCCCGTGAAAGGCGCTTTATAAATTCCATTTATTATTATTATTATTATTACAATAGTCCAGTCTACTGAAGATAAAAGCATGGACAAGTTTTCCAAATCCTGCTGTGACATTAGTCTTTTAATCCTAGAAATGTTCTTTAGGTGATAGTACAACCCAGTCTCACGGCATTTCGTGTTATTAGTCACGAAATTAATTTAATCTATTGATTCGTGTTCACCAACACGATTTTCACCTTTTTTTCGTGTCACACAGAACGATTTTAAATGCAATGTATTTCTATTGGTAGTATGTTTCGTGCCTGCAACACGTCTTTTTGTCCGGTCGGGTCTTGGAAGACCAGAGCTGTGTGGTTCATAAAAACATGTTCTTACTCAATATCTTACCCTAAGCCTAACCCTATCCCTTTTATTTTAAATTGTATAATGTCTGAGTTTTTTTGCCGTCAGTGAGGAAAAGAAATGGGGCTCAGAGCCTCAGAATACTGAAATCTGTATTTTATGTCATCTTTTTTTCCTTCTAATTTGTTATTATTTGGTGCAGGCACGAAACATACTACCAATATAAATACATTGCTTCTAAAATCGTTCTGTGTCAGAATAGTTAAATCTGTATTTTTTTAAATGTGTTTTTCCTTCTAATTTGTTATTATTTACATTGCTTTTAAAATCGTTCTGTGTGACACGAAAAAAATGGCGAAATCGTGTTGGTGAACACGAATCAATAGATTAATTTCGTGACTATAACACGAAATGCCGTGAGACTGTGTTGGATAGTAGGCTGATTGCTGTAACTGTTTTAATGTGACTGTTGAAACTCAGGTCAGAATCCAAGACTACACCTAGATTTCTGGCTTTATCTGTTGTTTTGAACATTGCAGACTGAAGCTCAGTGCTAACTTTGATACATTCTGCCTTGGTTCCAAAAACCATTACCTCAGTTTTATCTTTGTTTAATTGGAGAAAGTTCTGAAACATCCAGTCATTGATTTGTTCAATGCACTTACTCAGTGTTTGAATTGGAGAATAGTCTCCTGGTGAAATGGTTACGTAAATGTGTGTGACATCCGCATTGCTATAGTAACTTATTTTGTTGTTTTTCATTATCTGAGCCAGTGGTAGCATGTAGATGTTAAAGAGAAGAGGCCCCAGGATGGAGCCTTGAGGAACCCCACATGTCATATTTGTCAACTCAGATGTGTATTTACCTATAGAAACAAAGTTGTTTCTGTCCTTTAAGTAGGATTCAAACCAATTTAGAACTGTTGCCGAAAGTCCCACCCAGTTTTCCAGTCGATCTAGTAATATGTTGTGGTCAACAGTGTCAAACGCAGCACTAAGATCTAATGGCGCATTTCCACTACAGCGCGGAGCTCGCTTTATGTGTGCCGTGTCGTGCCCGTTTTTGGTTGCGCTTCCACTAGGCCTAGTTACGGCCCGGCCCGGCCCGGGGCCACTTTTTCACCTCTTTTCTGGCCCGACAAAATTGTGGTTCTATCGGGGCCAACAAACAGGGCTGAGTCGGGCTGAGTATGCTAAACTAGAGAGAGGATCGCTGGCAAGGGGGCTACAACTACAACAAGATGGACATATTTGACCGTGATTTAATTGTAATACACGTTTCAAAATGATGCCGAAGTAACAACATACTGATACCGGTTAGTAAAAACCATGAATTAATGCTTTGTCAAGTCTGCAGACAGACGGCAGGTGAAAAACCTTTTAAAATGCGTGTTTTTCTAGATGGAGATTGGCTAAGCTAACGCAGTATATGCTCCGACCGTCCACACTCACAACAACGGCCTATACAGACATAAATAAAGCAGCGACTGTATTCACCATGACACAGACAGTCTGTGGTTTGTACTTGTTTAACTTTTGTCGAGTTTCTGAACATATATAAGGAGCTGTGAGCTCTGAGTGCTAACAGCTAACGACTGTGTTGTTTTTCTGGAGTTCTCATTGAAGATGACGTCACGGCTCCGCCTACACTGCGTTACTATAGTAACTACCCCAGTTCCTAAACTGTAATGGAAGCGCAGCATGAAGTGAGTCGGCCCTGTTAAGGCCCAACGCGGCCAAGCCGTACCGAGCCGTACCGAGCGTGGCCGAGGCCGACCGTGTAGTGGAAATGCGCCATTATAATACTAACACTGAAGTACTGCCACTGTCTGTGTTTAAGTGGATGTCATTGAAGACCTTTACAAGAGCAGTCTCAGTGCTGTGGTTTGGATCGAAAGCCTGACTGGAACACATCGAAACAGTTATTTACATGCAAGTAATTACTCAACTGTTGAAAAACAACTTTTTCAATGATTTTACCTAGAAATGGCAGGTTTGATATGGGCCTGTAGTTGTTCATTACTGAAGCATCTAGATTATTCTTTTTTAAGAGCGGTTTAATGACTGCAGTTTTCAGGGCCTGTGGAAAAACACCTGAGTAAAGAGACTTGTTTACTATTGGCGCATTTCCACCATGGCGCGGAGCGCGGTTTAAGCGTACCGTGTCGTGCCGGGCCCGCTTTTGGTTGCGTTTCCACTATGCCTAGTTCCGGCCCGGGGGTACTTTTTCACCTCTTTTCTGGCCCGACAAAATCGTGGTTCTATCGGGGCCAACAAACAGGGCTGAGTCGGGCTGAGTTTGCTAAACTAGAGAGAGAATCGCTGGCAAGGAGGCTACAACTACAACAAGATGAACATATTTGACCGTGATTTAATTGTAATACACGTTTCAAAATGATGCCGAAGTAACAACATACTGATACCGGTTAGTAAAAACCATGAATTAATGCTTTGACAAGTCTGCAGACAGACGGCAGGAGAAAAACCTTTTAAAATGAGTGTTTTCTAAATGGAGATTGGCTAAGCTAACGCAATATATGCTCCGACCGTCCACACTCACAACGGCCTATACAGACATAAATAAACCAGCGACTGTATTCGCCATGACACAGACAGTCTGTGGTGTGTACTTGTTTAACTTTTGTCTAGTTTCTGAACAGATATGAGGAGCTGTGAGCTCTGAGTGCTAACAGCTAACAGCTGTGTTGTTTTTCTGGGGTTCTCATTGAAGATGACGTCACGGCTCCGCCTACACTGCGTTACTATAGATACTACCCCAGTTCCTAAACTGTAATGGAAATGCGCCATAAAGTGAGCCAGTCCTAATGAGGCCTAGCCATACCGAGCGAGGCCGAGCGAGGCCGTGTAGTGGAAATGCGCCATAAGTGAAGTAGATCTGAGGCCATGCAATGAAAAACATCTTTGAAAAATCCTGTTGGAATAATATCAAGGCAGCAGGAGGAGGATTTCAGAAGTTGAATAATGTCCTCTAGGTTTTTATCATTAATCTGATGGAATTGTGTCATGGTGTTTGAATTGATATTAGGTGGACACAGGGATAAACATTTGCTGTACCTGATACAGAGAAACTGACTGCTTGTCTGATTTTCTGAATTTTGTCAGTGAAGAAGGAGGCAAAATCATTGCAGGCCCTGGTGGATAGAAATTCAGAGACTACTGACACTGGGGGGTTTGTTAGTCTGTCGACGGTAGCAAACACGGCACGTGCGTTGTTTTTGTTTTTGGTAATGATGTCAGAGAAGAAAGACTGTCGGGCAATTTTCAATTCCAAATTATAAAGGCCAAGTCTCTCTTTATAGATTTCAAAATGAACCTGGAGATTTGTTTTTCGCCACCTACGTTCAGCTTTTCGACACTCTTTTTACCCTGGGTCTGTAGGCCGGTTTCAGCAGAACATTAGTACAATAGTTTTTTTCTAAATTATCTCCCGATTCATTGTGCACAATGTAGCCTTCATGAATGGCCAGTCCACAAAGAACCTTCGCTTTTTAAGCCATAGACCCCTATAACGTTGAAAAAGTATTTTCCAGTCATTTGTGGACAAAGGATTAGACAGTAGAATAACAAAATAAAGGTATATCATCAGCGTATAGATTTGGTAAAGGAGTCTTGACAAAACTGAAAGAAATTCAAAAGCATTTTTTTATTGTTTATTAATGATCTATTGATATCATGAACATGAGTGACACTTTACATGTTAATAATTTGCTGAAAATGTGGCAAATAGTGCATTTTCTATAATCAAATGCATTGCAATAAGTCGACAGAGAACACACCCAGCACTAGTTATAAATACTGTTGAAGACAAAGTAGTAAAAAGAAATCAAAGACTGTAAAAGATGAGCAATCAACATTATGACACTTAATATAATCAAAACTGTTAGAAAATGCTTCAAAAGGCACTATATCAGAAAATAATGATCTCTGATGTGTGGTAACTCGCCTCTATTAATGGCACACTCAACACAAGCTGCCAGTAATAGTGATAACCATCTTTTCCAGGTTTCTCTTTAGTAAACAAAGTATTCTGATTAGCTCCTTTGCAATGAAACAATATAAACTTTGTACAAAATACCGGGATTATCTCCATTTTACATCAAAGCTGAAAAGTTTTCCTTTTAAATGTACATCATTTTTAAGACCAAAACCGTTAAATGGTTCAGTGAAGGAACACACTGTGTTATTCAGAAAGGGCACAGAATGTTTTACATGAGACGATTTTTTTATGAAGTACCTATTGTTCTGAAAAAGTACTCTATTTTTTATTAAAAGGATACATTGGATGTTTTACTTATCCATAATTAGTGTACTTTAGAATGATGCAGTGATGTATTTTTTATGTATTTTTGTAGGCCAACCTAGAAGTTATCATCACAAGGGCTCCTTTGAACGTTGCAGAAAATAAGAAGAGGCAAATTAACAGTTTATTTTACACGTTTTGTAATAATCTCCACACTAATCTCTAGACTTTTATGATTTTTGAAGTTTCAATGCAATCACTAGAGGTAAAAAGCTTATGTTAGGCTATAAACATCACGGTCACATGACTGTCACCACCGCTAAGCTAAAGGCAGCTAATGTTCGACGTGATGCGTTTAATAGTCTCATTTAGCCGACTGTTAGCAACGGCCGTTATTAAGAGTTATAAGCTTCAGACATTCACCAGTTGGGTATATGATAACGTATTTTAAGTTCTAGAAACAAAACTTAAAAGTCTTGAGAGTTAACCACAGACCTTAATTCTGGCATCTAACCAAAATCAAGTAAAAACAACGTAGACTTCGAGACGATGGAACCTGAAGACTTATTCCTGCACCACTCTAATACCTTAAGCAGATGACATGCCTCAAGAGAAACAGAAAAGCACAGAAGCGAGCAATGTGCGGCTGTGGATTGGCACCGAATAGAACGTTATTTTAGCATCTTAAAAAAAATCTACCTGCAACCTACTTCAGGTAAGTTCCTCATACAACCCCATTTCAAAAAGGTCTGCACTGTCCCTTTAAGAAAAGCATTATTAAGACATCAGGTCAAAGGTCTTGGGTCTTTACATTATTCTGCTTTCATATCAAAATATAGTCTAAATGCCTGCTTTTAATATGATTTCATGGCTTTCCTGTGTGCAAACATAAAACAATTCAACAAAATAAGATAATCTGCAACAACATACATGTGTAACTTTAAGTTTATGGACAATCATTTGTAATTTAGGTATTTTCTAGTAAGAAAAGAAAAAAAGGATTAAGATAAACACTGATATGGAAGAAGGCAAAGAAAACCTTCCTTAAGCCCAGACAGATATATTAACTTTCTCTGGAAATATGTAGATTTTTTATGTCAACATTCATAAGAATACTGAACTGTATATTGTTGAGCACGGGCTGTGGTGCAGAGCAGCTTCAATGACTGATTATTACTGTACATGTGTAATTATGAGGAACGAGTGGTTACACAATGCTTATTAGTATGCGTACATGCAAGTGTGAATGTATGCATGTGGGTTTTTAAAGTGTTGTTCCAAAGTTTGGTAGCAAAAATGCCAAGATAAACCCAGAGTTCAAAAGACAGGTGTAAAAAAAAAAGAAGCAAGGTAAAAGTGCAGCGCGTTAATACCGGGAAACCATGCAAGCAATCACACACATCCTTAGTTAAACACTGATTGGAAATGTTAATGACATCTGTGTCACCGCACAAACAAAGCTTTCTCTCTTACACAAGACAATGTTATCATACAAAGAGCAATGATAATACTAATAAGAACCCAGGTGATAGGATGGAAATGAAAATCTCTTTAATTCAAACACAACTCAAATCCAGACATGTTTTGTTTACACCTGAGACCTATAATATATTGTTGAAAAATAGTAATATTATAATAGGGGTATATTTTTCCACATCCCGATACCGACCTAGAAAATGCAAATCTGAAAGCCAACTGAACTATATATAACATCTGTCTTTTAAAAAAGGGCCAAATCCATGTGGAACAGGCAAATCTGGTTTTATTTGTCTTTAAATGTTCAATGGATATTTGTTCGCATTCCATTTGTTGCAATGACTTATTAGAATCAATATGGATTACAAAGTTAGCGTTTAAGAAAACTGGTATTTTTATTAAAATAGAGCTTTTATAGTTCAACCAGTGACAGCTGATACAATCTCTCTTTCTAAAGATATTTGTTTACTTTTGAAATGATATCCACTATTTTTGAAGTAGCAGGATATAAGTTATTTTAATATAACTCAAATGTTGTCACTGAAAATTGCAAAATACTATCATTAGTATGAATTCCCAATTAAAAACAATTCAACAAAATAATCGAAATAGATAATTAAATTACCAAAGAAAAGGATGCAATGAAATGTTAAGCGGACTGATGGATTAGCTGAGCTTCACTCCACAAAAAAATTGTTTTCTTCTTGCATTTGAAATGAATACAGATTTTGTTAATGCCAAGTCCATTGGACTTAAGAAGCTGTACCAGATTGTTGGAGTTATGCAGCGTAGGGTTTTTCACTATCCAACACTAAGCTAATATGGCTAATTACAGGCTCACTACTACTTGGCTCCATTTCCACTTTGGCATTGTTGCACTGAAACAGACTTGGTTCAGCGGAGGCAAATTAAGTTGTCAAGCAGTAGTTTATGGATGCTAATTGCTAACTTTTTTTGTGAATATTGCTAACTTTTATTGGGAATATGCCTTGCTTGGTTTGAAATTCCGACGAGATGCCACAATATAAAGAATCGGAATCAGAATATGGTATCATGAGGAGTTACAGGCAGAGACGGTTTCTTTTTGGGGTTAAAATGAGCAACGCCTTATATTGCCAAAGTGTGGTATGGATCTTGCAATTCAACTCTAGAATGAAAGATAAGTAACAAGCCAATGTCAAACGCATTGGTTAAAAATGTGTACTTAATCAGGTTGAAGAGCAAAAAAGTATCAATAGCAGTGCTTCTTAGACTAGTCCCCTAAAAATGTGAACAAGTTCTACCTGTGTTTACTTACAAAACTAGTAGCTTCCTGGTAGAGTGAGCATTGCCACATAAACAAGTCTGAAAATAATGCCAGGTGGATGTTGGGTATAATGTTAATATATCCTAAAAATGTAGCCACCTTGTGTGATATCTGATTAAAAAAGAGGAAATGTGGTCAGTAACTTGTTCCTGTACGAACAACCAGTGGGTGTTCTGATTCAAGCCACTGTTGATAACCACTGATCTGAACAATACTCGATAAAAGTGTATTATTGATGTTTAAAAGTAATCCTTTTTTACCCAAAAAAGTTCAAGATAGATACATTTGTATGGAAACTTGACATTTTCCATTTCAAATTTGGCATTTGTCCACATCACATACGCAACCATATGGCTAACCCTAACCCTAAACATGACCAATGTTACAAGCACAGCAGACATAGACATATAACTACAAATTATTGGACACAAAATGATAAAAAAAGAAGTAACAAAAACTACACAGGAAAAAGCAGAAGCGCTGCTTTTCAGTTCTTTATGTTTACATAAGGCGAAGTAGAATCAGACAATAGTTGTAAGTGTCCCATTTGATGCGGATGATTTACGTTATGGCAAGCTAGTGACAAGGGGCACCTGTGCACACCTCGGTCCTCGTGGAAGACTTGTCATCCATCTCGACCCGTCCCGTGTGTTCCGGGGTTGTTAGGTTCACGCCGCTTCAGGAGAGGAATCAGTCGTCAATGTCCTCGAACACATTATCGTCGAAGGACCGCGCCACAGACGGCTGTATCTTTTGCCGGGAATACTTGAGATTAACAAGGTCTCCCACCTCACTGATGACACTCAGCGCCTGTGGAGACATTTGTTCAATAAAAAGGCTGTCAGCATGAAGGGCAATATGTGGCTCCAGGACACGTAAAACTGCACCAAGCTAGATTTGTACATCTTTCATGTAAGATTAAATCAAAACTTGAGCTGAAACTAAAAACACCATCGACTTAAATCTTTTCAATTTTTCTTTCCATTAATTGGCGGGAGGGGTAGTCACCAGTAGGACATCCTGTAATAGCACAGGAGGTGATGAGTTCATACAGATAAATCATCTAAACAGCAGCAAGACATTCATTCTGTCTGAAACTCTTCGCCGAAATGGAAGATCTTCTGTCGTAAAAGCGCTTCTTGAATTTAATTGAACGTTTTTAAAGTTAAATCAGTCAATGCTTAACAATATAAACAAGTTGTTGGTAAACACAATGAAACGAACAGTTCTGTGTAGGTCGAGTGTGTATTGGTGTAGAACAGTTAGTGCTTAATCTGATTACCTGAATTTCTTTTGTGCTATTTGATTTTTTTACATATCATTAATGTTGTACAGTAGTACCAGAGAGAAAAATAATTGGATGATCTTTTTTCATATATATATATATATATATATATATATATATATATATATATATATATATATATATATATATATATCTGATATCAATTGTTTATGACTTAACCTGTTAAGCCCTGAGCCTGTTTTTCAGGTCTCAGGCTCGAAAATGACATTCCCAGAACAAATGACCATATCGTCCCTTCTAAAAGGGTTAAATTAATAATCTTTTTACTCAAAGTAATGATAAACCTGTGACTTGGATGTAGAAAAGTCAGAATCAATATAGATGTTTTTTATTTTAAAGAAAATTCAGATTTTACATTGTAAAAAACTGTAAATTATAGTGTCCGTCCAAAAATTATTTTTTACTTATAGTGAAAACTACCCTTGGATGATGGTAAGGTAGACTAAAAGCTTTAGGAATCCAAAGTACAACATATAATAAGTACCATGTATCAAGATTGATGCAAAACAAGTGACATTTGACCTTTTTAGAGAGGTTTAGCCAAAAACACTCCACCTCTGAGGTGAAATAGTTTTTTTTTCATATCTCTGGAACCCTTTGGTCGATTTTGATGGTTGACACCTCTTTCTGACCGTTAGAGCCAATAGAATCGAAGGGGGAGTCCCCCACACACACACTCATTGTGAAACAAAAAGGTGGGGGCTTTGTGCATGTAATTTTGCATTAGAGTGAAGCTACATTCTAGCTCTGACATCTAGAAACCTAAAAGCATGGATTATCCGTTTCATTGCTCATGGATTATCAGAAATCCTTTCAAAGGAACACGGACACATTGGATTAACCTATGGATTAACTTCAGCAGCGTTTTTATCGTTTTAATGCCATTGAAGACCACTTTGGAGAGACTACAGAGCCAAGGTAACCTTGTTAGCATTTTTAGCTACCTAGCGTCACCTGTTTTGATGTCCGTTTTTGTTTATAATGTCACCTCACGATATGAAACGATGTGTTGGATGTGGTGAAAAGATAAATAATAAGGTTTTGTGAGTGATTTGCGGTGCAGTAATCTGTTAGCATTTTTCGCTCGTTGCTAATTCAGAGGCTCAGTGTTAGCATTGTGGGTTTTCTTTTGAAAAAAAAAATTAAAATTATCAGTTAGATGAGTTTCTTCCCGTTACATGGATATAAAACATTCATAGTTTATTAAATGAACATGCCCTCAGACACGGTTTCCTGCAAGATGTTGCGGCAGTGCCCCGGTACCGGGGTCTCTCGGGCTTAACCTGTTACGCCCCTAGGTTCAATTCTCACAAAACACAACATCCCCTGCCACTGCTACGCCGACGATGTACAGATCTATCTGCCACTCAATTCAAATGTAAACTCATTACAGCTATTGATGGACTGCTTAGCAGAGATCAAATCCTGGCTGAGCCAAAATGTCCTCAACCTCAATGAGAGCAAGACTGAGGTTATCTTTTTTGGACCCCAACCTCTAGCCTCCCAGGTTGATATTCTGGGCTCCCTCAAAAATAATATCCTCCCTTCTGTCACGAACCTTGGAGTGACCTTCAATAGCGCTTTTAAATTTGATAAGCAGGTCAGCAGCGTAGTCAAAACCTGCTTTTTTAAAATACGACTATTGGCCAAGACCAAGTCGTTTTTATCGTTTGAGGATCTAGAAAGGGTTATTAACGCCTTTGTTACCTCGAGGTTGGACTACTGCAACGCTCTGTACGTGGGTATGGACCAGGCGTCAATTAAACGCCTGCAGCTAGTCCAGAACGCAGCTGCACGTCTACTCACTGGCCACAAAAAGCGTGACCACATTACCCCAATCCTGGCCTCACTGCACTGGCTTCCAGTTCGGTTCAGAATTGATTTTAAACTCCTTTTATTTGTTTTTAAAGCACTAAATGGGCTGGCTCCGGCCTATATAGCCGAACTCCTCCAGCGCTACACCCCAGCCAGAGCCTTAAGGTCGGCTGACCAGCTGCTGCTGATAGTGCCCAAGACCAGGCTCAAAACCCGAGGGCACCGAGCCTTCATAGCAGCTGGCCATAGGCTCTGGAACACTCTGCCCCTCCATGTGAGGTCGGTCCAGACCCTAGGGGTTTTTAAATCTACTCTTAAAACACACTTCTTCTCCCTGGCCTTTTAGTCAGAGCGGAGCACGACTCCTGACTTTTCCCCCTGTTTTTTTTAAAATATCTGTTGTAATTTATTGTCTTTTATTGTGATTGTAGAAATGTGTTTTTATGTGATTGTAGAAATGTGTTTTTATGTGATTGTAGTTATTACATGTACAGCACTTTGGCCCGCTAAACTTTGATTTGATTTGCGCACCGCCCCCCCTGTACCGGGCGGATAAACGCGTCATTTGCAGGACACAACGTCTAAGGAATCTTAATATTTAATAAACTATGAATGTTTTATATCCATGTAACGGGAAGAAACCAGCTAACTGATCTTTTAAAAAAAAATTCTCCAAAAAAAAACCACAATGCTAACACTCAGCCTCTGAATTCTGCAAAAATGTAACTTAAAACTGCACCTAAACTCACTCATAACTCCCTTATTACTTATCCTAGATGCACAGCCAACCCCTCGTTTTGCATCTCCTGGAGACACAGAATCTGGGGGTGTCCACCTCAACACTCAGTGATAAACATTTGCGACGCTATAAACGAAAGCGTACATCATAACATGTGGAGCTAGGTAGCTAGAAACGCTAACATGGCTTACCTTGGTCAAAACTGGTCTTCAATGGCATTAAAACGATAAAAAAACGATGCTGCAGTTAATCCATAGGTTAATCCAATGTGTCTGTGTCCTCTTTGAAATGATTTCTGATAATCCATAAGAAATAAAACTGCTTTTTCGTTTCCAAATGTCAGAGCGAGAGATCGGTCGACTCTGCTGCAAAATTACATGCGCGCAGCCCTCACCTTTTCTCTTCACAACGTGTGTGTGTGGGGGACTCCCCCTTCGATTCTATTGGCTCCAACGGTCAGAAAGAGGTGTCAACCATCAAAATCGACCAAGGGGGGCCAGAGATATGGAAAAAAAAACATTTTCACCCATATCACCTCAGAGGTGGGGTGGTTTTGGCTAAACCTCTCTAAAAAGGTCAAATGTCACTTGTTTTGCATCAATCTTGATACAGGGTACTTATATGTTGTACTTTGGATTCCTAAAGCTTTTAGTCTACTAACCCATCATCCAAGGGTAGTTTTCACTATAAGTAAAAAAGAATATTTGGACGGACACTATAATTTACAGTTTTTTACTATGTAAAATCTGAATTTTCTTTAAAATAAAAAAATCTATATTGATTCTGACACTTCTACATCCAACTCACAGATGTAACCTTGCTTTGATAAAAGAAATTATTCATATAACCCTTTTAGAAGTTAAGTTGTAGTCATTTGTTTTGGGCATGTCATTTTCGAGCCTGAAACATGAAAAACAGGCTTGGTGCTTAACAGGTTAACAGGTTAAGAACAGGTGGTGAAATGATCACTTTTCCAGTGTTTGTTCTTGTAATTCTCATTTTGACCACAAGGGGCTGAAGTGCACCACTACCCCATGAACTGATATGGGGAAACGGATTGAAAGCATTCACACTTTTCTTTCAGGTCAGTCTTATTATCTTAATTACTGTAGTTTTTGATTGGCTAGAAATGTAATTTAACCATATCAAAATATCTATTTAGAATGCAAGGTCAAACTCAACTGGAAGAAAACAAGTACAAATTACATTTAGATTATTGGGTAGTGGTGCTCTTTAGCCTCCTATGCCTGAAGTCAGTATTACAAAAACAAACAAAAAGTTCACATTCCAATTTTGGAAGACTTGTTTTCACAGATGAATAAAATATAATTTTGGCAAACCTTTTTTTTCATAGTCATACATACATTATAGAAATGATTACATTATAAAACAAAAATATATCAGCCTTAGAAAATGGGTCACTATAATATTTTATCTGACTTGCATCTTAGGTCTTCCGTGTCTTTCTTTTTGAAATGTAAATAGGTTACAACAGGGGTGAACACGAGATTGAAAGTTGATGTGGTAAATGTTTTGACAAAAATATAATCTATAAGGGTGACATGCAGAAATAGCACAGCAATAGTGTTCATTTGGAGTTGTGCTTTTGGCCACCTGACACATCTTTGCGTCAGGTGGCCAATAGTCATAGTCTTTTTGGCTATTAAGCTGCTCAATGCTCCACTGCAGATTAAAAGGCCACAAAAAGTCATCTTTGTCTGTTTTGACTTTTTCAAGAAGTCAGAGTAGACTTCTATGATCAAATATTTGTTGGAATTTAGGATTAAGTGAACATGTGTGGGTGCTATTGAAGGAGAGGGCTTGACTGCCAAAGCTTACCAAAAGATAAAAGAAACTCACAAATCGTCACGACACATCAAAGTACAGGAAAGTGATACAGCGAGGAGGCCTAACAAAAAGATCTTAACAACACCGACTCCCTGTCCTCACTCTTTTTGTCTTGAGAGCAAGACAAGGAATGGGAGTGGATAACAGCCCCCGCACTTCCTGGAGACACATTTGACATCCGAGCCACAAGGACACCCCAATTAAAACAGGGGATTTAAGACTTTTGCTGGATGACCTAGAGGCTGAAGATAAAGACGGTGACTGCAAAAGGACAAGCAGGCGAATATAGTAGAAGAGAAGCTCTTGCAGTATGTGAGAGTGGGCGGCTTTGTGATGTAATGCCCAGAGACTGCACTGACATTGAGACACTCGGAGGAAAATGAGGGTGGGTGTCTGAACTCGTAACAGATAATGCAGTCTCCCCTTCAATCCATCTCTCCTCTACTATGACAAGCTGTGAGGCGGTCACACCTGAACGACCATCCACAATTGGTCTGATTTTGTAATTTATTTCCTAATTTAAATTTAAAAATAACTTCCAATAAATAAAATGAAATCAACAGAAAATATCGGAGCCTAGCTCACCCTCTTTGTATAGCAGAGCACATTTTCTTTTTAGACAAACAGGAAGCCTTAGTACCCTGAAACCACACTGAGGTGACAAAAGGGTGGTGCAGTGAGGCCAACCTGGAAGTTACCATTGCAAAGACTCTCTTGACAAACGCAATGAGATGTCCCCATTGGATTTTTGGGTATATTGCAGAAATGTGTCATACTTATGTGTTTTGTTCCGCAGAATAATCTCCACATATTAACAACATTTTTACGATTTATTTTGTGTAATTGCAATTGCGATAAGTAAAAAGCAATCCTTAGAATATAAACAAATTAGATCACGGTAAGGGGGAGAATAATACTGATGTTTGACCAATGAGTGTTAACCGTTTTGTCCATCCAATCAGGACCGAGTATTTTCAGTGGCCACAGGTTCTAGTAATACTGTGTAAAGCTAAACACTAACTTTCCTATTATAGAGAATTTAGTGTAAGAAAAACAGATAAAACTAAGACTTTTGCTAGTAAGAAACTTTTTAGTGGTAGTTTAGTCAGATAACAATCTTTTTTACTTCTTGTTGTTTTTCTCAGATCTAATTTCTTGCCCAAGAAGAATTAAATTAAAACGGTTTTATGTGATAAAACTGTGTTTGTATAAATGAGTTACCCTGTCGAGCACGTCTTTCGTGTGGGCGGAGGAGATGCAGAAGCGTGCCCGGGACTCGATGATGGGCGTAGCGGGGAAGCCCACCCCCACCACCCCGATGTTCCTCTTCAACATCTCCCTGCTAAACGCTCTGTGGGACAGAAGAGACGCGGCAAGAAATGACATACCAAAATATAGTTCCAATAAAGACATTAACCTTTGCAACATTATGGCAAGCTAGTATTGTTCATTGAGATTTATTGTTTAGAACATTTATACTTATTGAATTGAGAAAAAATACATAGGTTTTATAAGTGGGTATTGTCCACAGAATTCAATCTATTACAATATGTAATGTAAAGCGCTCAAATAAATACTATGACTTATAAGACTTTCTTTTTTAATAAAGCCTATAATTAGGGCCGCCTCAGGCTTACCTTAAACATCTTCCTGGATCTTATATTCATTTAACTTTATTTGCATTTTACATTCATATTAGCGTTTAGTTAATTAGATTGTTTATGTTGTCATGCATTATTTATTTAGTTTACATTTTCATTCATGTTTGATCTGTACACACTGTAAAGCCCCCTGATGAAAATGTGTTTTTTTATGAATACAAAAATCAGGATCTTTTGAAATATGTAAATCTGGCTACATCTCATATAAAATCATATTATTCATCATTCTGTATTGTTCTAGGCGTTAATGCGTGAAAACTACTTTAAGCAGCGAGTCAAATCTGTAGGCTTACGCTATCTTGGCGGGCATGTAGAGCATCATGGGTACAACAGGCGAGTCCTCGTTTCCGTAGATGATGAAGCCCATCTTCTGAAGATTCCTGCGGAAATAGACTGCGTTCTTTGCCAGCTGATGCACGCGGTCACAGCCTGGGGAGGATCAGAAGAGAATTTTTAACAAGAGTTGACAGAAAAGCAATGGAGGAACCACAATGCTATTAAAGTTAATGATGTTTTAGTTTGGGGGTCTTTGACAATTGTCAGCCCAAAGACCCCAAAGCTAAAGCAGGGGACTCTTGCATATGTATACAATTGAGTTGGATATAAGGTTCGGAACCGTAATTTGGAATTCAAGTAAGAACTGATCCAAAACGGCCCATACCAGAAAAAAAAATTTTGTGAGCAGTGACTTGATGTTCAAATTGAGTTGCATAGATAGAAGCGGAATCTCTAAGCAGAACCAGAATCAAAACCAGAATTGTGAAATGCAAACGATACCGAACCCTAGGGCGTTTTTATGCAGTCGCTCTGAATTTACAATATTTAGAATTGTTAAGAAAAGCACCGGTAAAGTGACTATAGAAGATGGGAATTATTTTAACAGAAACCGAAAAGCCTGTTTGTTGGAACAGATTGATCGGGAGGATCCTGCTGGTTTGTGTTGTGACTTGTATCGTTGTCTTCCATCGCTGACAGACTGAGCGGTGAAGCTCATTTAGACAAACATATCCCGGTTGATGCTCATAGTAAAAAAAAGTCAAATAAATATATAGTACCAAAAACACAGATGATAAAATCCAAGGGGGGCAAAAATAATTTGTCTTACAACAGTGGTGATACGCACAAGGATTCATGGGTAACAGTTAGACTCACTACATATTACCATAATGTGTATTTTCAGACATTTTAAATGTGAGAAGATGAGAAATATTTATAGCGAGTTTGATGAAAAAAGAAAGGGAAAAAAAGAGTGTTGATAAGCAGCTGAAAACTAACACATTCATGAGATGTGAGGAAACATCTGAGGGGTGCAGCCCTCGGGGGAGGGGGAGTTTTGACTTCTCTGTAATGTTTTCCTTCTGCCACAGGAGATAGAAGATTCACTGATTCTTTAAAAACACGACTACAAACTATGATCATTTGCCCCCAAATGTAGTCACAAAGGACTACTATTATCATAATATTGCACCAAGACATACACTTCCATGCAAATAAAATAAAAAGTAGGTCAACAGAAATGACATTTTTTAGTTTAAAAAGATACACAAAAGCTAACCTCACCTCAAGATAGATCTGGATTGACCTTGGTATAATAAATGGGAAGAAGAAGGGTTTCTATATATTATATCTCACACGGATACAGCTTCAACTCTGTGTTTTTTTTAATAGTGTGAAATAAAACTACTGATTTCATCAGTTTGTACTGACACCCAGTGGCAACTGCTTACAATTACAGCATTGAGATTAAATCCACTCAACACTGACAATCTGAACATCTCAATTCTTAGTTCATTTTTAAATGATAAGATATGCTATTTCAATAAAACAACTCTGCCAAGTACGATACTCTTCATTATGATGACATCAAGGTTGTGTTTGATGTAGTCAGGACATGATGCGCTCAATGTGTCACAGATAGTGATTAAGGGGACACTCTAAAGGTGAATAGGTTAAAAACACCCAACTAATAGCTCACTATGAAAGTTCCCCCGTTGATTACTTATATTAACGAAGACATATAATGCTAATTTTCAGGTTTGTATTTTGTAACTCTGCTGTGACATGTGTCCATGCTTTAATGTTCAAAAAGCTCTTTATTTTTCTCATACTGCCTGTGCTGCACATTGTCTTATTAAATGCCTATTTGCAATCTTTTATGCAACAGAAAACTCAAAATTGGATAAAAACTAATTCTTGTTTCAGCAGCATAAAAAAAAGCATTAAAAAAAGCAATCTTGTAGCCTATGGTGTTAAGCCTTAGAGACACAACTACACAAAGTGAATGTTAATTAAAACATTACAGGGCACTGGGGGCCACACTCAACATATAATAGGAAAATGCTGTAGGTAGACATTTCATTACTCCTAATCTCAGCCAAGAATCATTTAAAGATGCTCTGTGGAATTTTGTTGTAAACAAATAAGTTATTTTTACCTTCAGTGTTACGCCATATAAAAAAAGCATTGTGAGTATCTTAAACACGTTGAATGCATTTCTTTCTCATAAAACATTTGCAAAGCCACTTTTACCTTTTTTAACGTTTTTTTTTAATCTATAATGTTTGGAGTCTTGTAGTTTCCCGCTTTTGTTGGCTTATAGCTGCCACCTGTAGATCAGTGGAATATTACAAAAATGTTTTACTGTATATAAGCTAACCCGCATACATGCATGCATTTGCACCAGAAACAACTAAACTGCAATCCAAAAGACACTTCAGTAGCTCCACTAGCTCAAAAGAATCCTCTGGGTACCTTTAATGTTGTTTTGCCACTCACCTATCGTTGTGCCATCCTCTCCCATAATGCACTTCATAGAAGTGATGATTTGCTCCACCACAGGTGGAGACATGGAGGATGCGTAGACCGCACTGTGGGAATGGGAGCGCAGGTACTCAATAAGCTCCTAAAGCCAGCAGATACACAGGAGATGTAAGGAGACGTGCATGAAAATTAATTATGTTGTACATCCATTGAGAGTTAAGAAACTGAGGTTCATTTGATAGTAAAGGTTGCCGACCCTTGGCTTGGCCTAACTCTCTTATGTATATATATATATTTAAATGAAACAGCAGAAAAATAAAAATCCTCCAGCCTCACCCTTTTCCCCGCGATGTATCCCCCTGCAGCACCGAAGCTCTTGGTGAATGTTCCCATCATGACGTCCACATCACAGGGGTCCAGGCCAAAGTAATCGACCACGCCTCTGCCTCTAGGCCCCAGGGCCCCGATGCTGTGGGCCTCGTCTAGGTAAAGGTAAGCCTTGTAGCGCTTCTTCAGAGCAATCATTTCTGGCAGGCGCACTATGCTGCCCTCCATGCTGCAGGGAGGAAAGGACAAAATGGAAGGGGTTACAGCCAGGGTCAAGCAAACGTCCTTGTTGATTACTGACTAAGGGAAGTACAATACAGTATGTTCCCTACTCAAGAACTTCATAATAAGAATGTTTTTCCACGAAAATAAGCACGTTTATGTTTTTTAAAACATGGTAAAACTCACTAAAAACAGGCGATAGACTTCGTTCCTATTGACGAGTACATTTTTTATATAGATTATAAAGATAATAATGTCAGGATACACAGAAAAGTGTATAATTAGCTGGCGCCTTTTAACTGCAGATTGCTACATACATACATAAATACAATGTTGCTTACTGTGTGTACAACCAGTTAGATCTATCCCAGCACTAAATCAGCTGTCAACTTTCAATCCTGTCCTAATACAGCTACTAATGCTGAATCTAATGGAACCACATGAGCCATAAATAAAAGATAAAAGCTACTTTTCTGACATTGAACAGGAAGGAAATCTTATCTTTAGAGCTGATGACTACCATTGTTCTACTGTTTTTGGCTCAATGATTCTTAAGGCACAATAGTAAACATTGATGTCCCTCCTCCTTCCTCTCAGCACGGATAACACCTGATTTGTGTGGTCTGAAACAACGTTTTATCTTTGAATAACCTTGTCACTAAAAAACTAATCAAAAGAATCACAAGGGTAGATCAACAGAACGTGAATGGTAGGTTTCGGTAAATATTTAACTTGGGGAGAAAATGGGTAAGGTACCTGTAAATGCCCTCTACAACAATGAGAATCTTCTTCCATGGTCTGTGGGTCCTGGGCTGTCCGTGAACTATGGCCTCCCTCAGCAGTTTCTCCAGGCTCTGCATATCTGGAAAGGAAATCAGGAGATTTGAGTCAGATTCTTCAATAAAGTTGCCCTTGTTTTTAAATCACATTAGCCATGGTATGGAGACCCCGTTGATTTGTATTTTTTAAGATTCAGAAAGAAAAAACAAATGTACTTGTAGATTAACTTGTGGTGATTTTTGGTCTGTGGCTATAACTGACAAAATAAGCTACTTTAACAAACAACTAAAATGATTAAGCTGTAAAAATAGACAGGCAACTGGTTTTAGGCAGCTTGCTGAGGTTTTGGCTAGTTAGCTGGTAGCTAATGGCTAAATGTTTAAAGGTTACGAGCAAACCCGAACCAGCTAATAACTCAAACAGCAAGCTTTTAGTAACATCAACTAATTATTATTATTAGATAAAAGATGACCAAGATGGATTATCCACTAAATAAGACACCAACTGATCTACCCGATTAAAAGTAAAAAAATGCTAACAACCTTTTATGTGGACATTGCTTCTGAGCTGGTTAGCCCAATGGCTATCACACAGCTAGTGGCTTATTAGTTTTAGACTAATTAGACACATACACACATTATATTTATATAGTTATGCATAATCCATATCGTGTTCTATAAGCAAAATCTTTTATGAGCTCCCCTAAATACAATTCTCAATGTACTTGATTTAGCATGCGAGCACAGTTAGCATTAGCAACTAGCACTTCTCCTCTGCAGTTGACATACATTACAATCACAGATACTTGTTTTTGTGTGAATACAATGAAGTTTGAGTAACAGAAAGAGTGGTTACAGAAAACAGATACAGAGTCTCAAAATAACTTTTTCACAGCAGACTTTTCAAAAAAAGCACAGTTACCAATAAAATAACAAAGGCTATTGTTCTGTTTATTCAAATGTCTCAGTAAGCTGTGACAGTGTGGCAGTGAGTCAGCATCTACAATACAAGGAACATAAAAACCGTCCATAAAGGTGGCCAGTTTTCTTCTTTTGTTTTACCCTGAGCTTTTTACATTAGCAGAATGTCAAAAATATCTTCGATTAAAAAGGGTACTAATTTAAAAGAAAACACATTGTATTTTATATTGCACTTCCACATTAAAGAATTCTGTATAGAGACCTTTAACAAGTCAAAGTCCACATGCTTCAACACTTTCCAGGAAATAACAATCTGGCTGTGTCAGGCTTTAACCAAAACACTTAGTGCCCAGTATTGTATGTGTGCACTGTAAAGCACGTCAACGACTATATCAAAGAAAGTAATGACGTAAAATAACAAGCAAGCGGCAACCTTCATCACATGACGGCAATCTTTATTTTGCAGACACACACACACACACACACACACACACACACACGACTCACTATTGTGTTTGAAGACTCTGATGGTGGACCCGGAGAGTCTGGCTCCCAGGACCAGAGAGGCGTGGTTCAGTTCATCACTCAGAAGCAGACAGCCCTGCAGGACACCAGAAACACTTCGATATGTACAAATTATCTTACGTCACATTTGGAATACAATTAAATAAAAATATTTATATGAAGATAAGAAGTTTAAAGTGGACCTATCATGCTATATTTTAATAATATAGTGTAGGACCATACCTATATAAGGCATATTTATACTTTTTTTTTTTCAAAATACCAAACAGATCATGCATTTTAGCCATGCCTCATTTTGCTCAATTCTCACTTTTTTAGCCCTGTTTTTGCAAGGGCAGATTCTGTGAGAACAGCACAACCTACAGGCCTGGCTTATGTACTACAGCGTCTCCAGCGCTTTCGAATGGCAATGGCCGTGGCTGTCTCCTCCTGATTGGTGGAGTTGGCCCAATAGCCGTAGCGCCACTGTCCTGATGTCAGGACAGTGTTCAAATCTGGATCAGTTTTTATCAGATCCGTTGCAGCCCCTTTTTTAGAGATTTGGGTATGGAGGAAAATAGAGAGAGTGAGTTCCCTGGAACACTGGGGACACATATTCATGTATAAAAGACGTACAAAAGTGCATTTTGCATGATAGGTCCCCTTTAAGTAAAATGTCCACTAAAATATATTAGAATAAAAAATATATATATACAAAAAAAACATAATCTTTATGTAAACACGCAAAGTAAAAATATGTGATAGAGATGAAAAATAATAAAATATTTATGCAAATATAATTTAAATTAAAGATGTGCACTATAATAACTAAATGAAATAAATTAGAATAATGATATTTATATAAACCAAAAAGTTAAAGTAAAAATTTGAAATAAAAAAAGTTAAATGCAAAGTAAAAAAAATTGCAATAGAGATGACAAATGTTTTAATACAAATATATACATATATATATATATATATATATATATATATATATATATATATATATATATATATATATATATATATATATATATATATATATATATATATATATATATATATATATATATATATATATATATATATATATATATATATATATATATATATATATATATATATATATATATATATAAGTAAAAAAAGGCCAATAAAAAAAGAATTTTTTTTTTTAATATAAAACACAAGTTAAAATAAAACAAATTAAGAAAATAGAAAACAAATATTTATATAAACATAAGAAGTTAAACTAGAATCACACATTGTGTGCTGTGTATACCAACAGGAAGTGTTTCTTCATATCCTGCCACGTGGTTCTGTGTCTGTGTACTACTGATACTTTGAGATGTGATTTTAACAAATGGATTTCTTGACCCTAAATGTACTCAGACAAAAAGGTGCCGGGTAGAAATCAATGTCAAAAAAGCAGATACACCGATATAAACGTTACATAACTACACATGTGTGCGAGACAGTGCTGTTACAATATGGGCATAGATTTGTCTCATAATTATTTGTATGAACATTAAAATAATTTGTGTGTAAATATGTGATTTGTAAATGTAAAACACCATCCACAAATGCATTTAAAAGATTTGCAAACTCACAAAAAACATTTGCAAATGTAAAACGGATCTGCAAATACGCAAAATTTCAGGCATTTGTGAATCCATTTTGTACATGTCAACCATAAATGCGCTTGCGGATCTCAAATCTCTGCTTGTGGATCGTCTTTTTACACACACGGAGTTTTGAGACAAACTTTCCGCCGGTCTCGGCTAAAATCTACTCGTGTCACTCGGTTATTTTCGGAAACCACGTGATGGCCTGCTGAAGACGACATTTCCGCATGATTTCAAAAATAAGAGCATGATGTTTTGTTTAATGCTCTGTTTTTGTATTATATATGAACAGCGAAACGTTAGATGCATTCTTCATCACCATCATCATCATCATGTTATAGTGATACAGTTAGTTTGTGTTAGTTTATTTGTTCAATAGCTTATATCGAGCACTTTCGTATGCATTGATGTTGAAGTAGGCTACAGGCTACGCCACTTTCGGGTCCCGGGGAGCTACAGCTGGCAGCGAAGTAGCCCCAGAGATAACTCTTTCTTCATTGTTTTTTGTGTATTCAGTCAAGCGGGTCAAAGTTACAAAGCACTTCACATCTTATTCATCGGCCTAGTTTTACCTTACCAGTGCAGTGGTAAAGTAATCTGTAGAAAAGCACCGTATTTAGGTTAGCCTTCACAGTAAGGCTACATTAAATGTTATAATATTCATCGTGTCCTTTCTACTGTATATGCATATTAGGGATGGGAATTTGAAAGCAAATGTATATTCGAATATTCGACCCCCAACAAAACGGTTAACCGATTAACCGAAATGTATATATTCTGTAAAAAAAAAAAGAATGTGGGAAAAATGTTGACAAAAAAAACCAAAACAGCTTAACTTGGTTTTTAAATTAAAGAGGGATCATACACGAACAACATAACGGGTTAGGGTAACGTAATTACAATTACAACAGAGATCAACAACCTATAACAGGGCCTATGCACAGAATGCAGCTATTCAATACTCATTCTTGTTTAAGAATATGAGCATGTGTACTCAGGGGAGAGGCGGGTGCGGAGACGATTCACAATCAGGCCAGCTGTAGAGAAGACCCTCTCAGCTGGAATTTGGGCATAAGATGAGGTTTGAGTCTGCGTGATCTGCGTGTAGGGAGGGGCAGCAGCCATATCATTAGCTAGAACTAGCTAGATCTGATGGATTTGGACATAAACGCGAGTGAAGTATAACCGGACGAGAGAGAAAGAGAGAGAGATCAGCACCTGCAGCTCTGCCCGCTGTGTGGGACCGGTGAGCGGAGATCTATCAATCTACATAGATAACATGATGATGATGGTGATAAAGAATGCATCTTCCGCTGTTCATTATAATACAAAAACAGTGCATTAAACAAACCATCATGCTCTTACATTGCAGAGATTTGAGATTCACAAGCAGAGATTTGAGATCCGCAAGCGCATTTTTGGTTGACAAATACAAAATGGATTCACAAATGCCTGATAGAAAGTTGTCAATGTTAAAGAGATATTCACAGATCTTTTTTTTATTTGTGAAAATATTTAGCGTATTTGCAGATCCGTTTTACATTTGCAAATGTTTTTGTGAGTTTGCAAATCTTTTAAATACATTTGTGGATGGTGTTTTACATTTACAAATCACATATTTACACACAAATAATGAGACAAATCTATGCCCATATTACAACATATAGGACATGTGACTGAGCAAGCCAAAGAGCGGCGACAAGCAATGGAGGGGAACGTTTGCAGCAATGGTATTCTTCAATAGTAAATCACAGCTCTACAGAGGAAACATCTACCTCTTGTGGTCTTACCTTGCCAGACAGCGCTGGAATGTTCATGGAGTTGGTTGCGAACCCCATCCCAAAAGACATGGCCGACTCCACGCCCAGGAACCTGGCCACCAGCTTCTCCAACTCCTCGTGTCTGTCCAGGTTACCTGAGGAACAGACAAACAGGAAATCACAATAAATACATTAATTAATTTAAAATTATCCTATTCTATTCCATATGGATTTATTTGACTAATTTCAGTATTTTATGATTGCACCATTATGTTTCTTAAAAATTGAGGAAAAGGGACTGCATATATATAGCACTTTTACCTCAACCTCTCAAAGCGCCTTTACATACACGCCAACATGAAGAAGGTCCTGCCGAAGTACTACCAACACATCAGCTGCCCGATGCGCGGGGGAAACATACTGGACCATGTTTATTCCCCTTTTCGACATGGATACAAGGCTCTTTCCCTTCGGCAAATCAGACCACATCTCACTGCTGCTGCTGCCTGCTTACAAGCAGAAACTCAAACGGGACAGACCGGTAACAAAGACACTACAACGATGGAGTGAGGAGTCAGATGCAGCACTGCAGGATTGCTTTACATCTACGGATTGGAGTGTGTTTGAGGACAACAACAACACACACACGGATACGGTCATCTGCTATATTGGGAAATGCATCGATGACGTGGTACCGAAGGCTTCTGTACGACCATTCCCGAATCAAAAGCCCTGGATAAACGGCGAGGTGCGTGGCAAGCTGAAAGCGCGCACTATCGCGCACAGAGCTTGAGATTTGGAGGAGTTCAGGAAATCTAGGTATGAACTCCGGAGAGCAATCAGCAGCGCAAAGAGACAATACAAAGACAAGGTGGATTCTGACTTCAAAGGCTGTAACACCCGGAACATGTGAGCAGGACTAAGAACAATGACAGACTACAAAGGAGCAGCGGGGGGTGCTGCGAGAGTGTCTGCGTGCGCATCTCTCCCAGATGAGCTGAACAGTTTTTTTGCACGCTTTGAGAGCAGCCAGGCTGTGGAGGTACAGAGGGACCAGGAGCCCTGCCCTTTTGTTTTAAATAGGGCAGATGTGTGTAAATCCTTTAAAAGGGTTAACCCACACAAGGCTCCTGGACCTGATGGCATCCCTGGCCGTGTTCTCAGGGTGTGTGCAGTTCAGCTGGCAGAGGTGTTCACAGACATCTTCAACAGGTCCCTGCTGCAGTCTGTAGTCCCCACATGTTTAAAACACTCCACCATCGTTCCTGTCCCCAAAAAGACAAAAATCACCAGCCTCAACGACTAGTACCCTGTACCACTCACTTCCAACATAATGAAGTGCTTTGAGCGGTTAGTCAAATCATTCATCACCTCCTCCCTCCCTGACTCTCTGGACCCCCTGCAGTTTGCCTACAGAGCAAACGGGTCCACAGACGACGCCATAGCCCTCACCATCCACACTGCCCTCTCACACCTGGACCAGAGGAACAGGAACACATATGTGAGAATGCTGTTCATTGACTACAGTTCAGCATTCAATACCATTATGCCCTCCAAGCTGGCCATCAAGCTCAGAGACCTCGGGCTCAACAGTGCCCTCTGTGACTGGATCCTGAACTTCCTGACGGGCAGACCCCAGGCAGTGCAGGTGGGAAACATCACATCCTCCACCCTGATTCTAAACACCGGAGCCCCTCAAGGCTGCGTGCTCAGCCCTCTCCTCTACTCCCTGTTCACTGACGACTGCGTGGCCACACACAGCTCCAACACCATCGTGAAGTTTGCTGACGACACGACCGTCATCGGCCAGATCACAGACGGCGACGAGACGGCGTACAGAGAGGAGGTCGAAAACCTGACATCTTGGTGCCAGGATAACAACCTCCATCTCAACGTCAGCAAAACAAAGGAGCTGATTGTGGATTACAGGAAGCAGCAGGGAGAGGGACACGCCCCCATCGCCATCAATGGGACTACGGTGGAGAGAGTCAGCAGCTTCAGGTTCCTTGGGGTCCACATCACTGCAGTGTTAATTTTGGCAGCTGTTTTTGATTTAGTCTTAGTCTTTAGACGAAAATGGTTATTAGTTTTAGTCACATTTTAGTCATTTCTATCCTTCATAGTTTTAGTCTACTTTTAGTCGATGAAAAATTACATTTTTTAGTCAAAATCGTGAGAGCCGATCGCATGACGTAAAATACATGACACTTTTCTCTGTGCGCGGCAAAACAAGCTCGCCAAAATGGCTTCACCAGTCTGGCAGTATTTTAAGGTGTCCGAAAATGACAATAAAATAGCGGTATGCAACGTGTGTGTGAAGCAGAAATCCTACAGTTCCACCCGCTGTGACGGACCGGTGAGCGGAGCACAACACACAAGAGTTAGACCTAACACACTTAGCTATTTTATCTACCTCTGGAACAAGCTAAACTAGTTATAAATATATTTATTCTTCACTGTCGGGTCACTCATTACTGGATCAGTGAGCTGCATGAGATACTGACAGGCTGTCTGTCAGGAGAGAGAGGGTGAGAGAGGAGAGAGAGAGGGGGAGAAAGGAAAAGAGAGCGCTGATCCGCTAATTTCTCCCGTGTTATTATCCAAAGTTAATAGCCGCGTTCACACCACAGTACTTTTCCCACTTTAGTTCCGATATAGTTCCGAAATGTCGCGTTCACACCAAAAAGAGCCGGAACTAAAATTGGTTCATCAGAACCTTTTATACCCCCTTTTCCGTCCCTGCTAGAGAGCAGGTACTTTCGTGGGAGAAAAAGGTTCCTATTTCTGATTGGCTGGGCGGATTGCAAACCACGCCCCGTAAAACTCCAAAAAAGTTTTGTGAAGCCGCCATTTTATTATCCTCGCATTAGCATTATTAGCATTAGCCCAGCGCACAAACGCAGAGAGACTAACTTATGGCAACACAAAAGAAAACATGGGAGCGGTGGAGATGAGTAGGTGTCGGCGTTCTGGCGATTTACTCGGAAGGCTTCAGTAGAAGCTGCTGGGAGTCCCAGCAGCTTCTACTGAAGCCAGTCCCCAACTCCGGGGAATTCCGGCCGCAGACTTCGGGTGGCAGTATACACCGTGAAGTCGGCCTGCCAGTAAACCCAAAGCAGAAGAAGTGACGTCAGCGGCTTCATTTGCCTAATCCTTCCCCAGGAATTTATTCCGGTGTGAACGCGATCTGTACTTTTTTTTTTTTTTTTTACATTTCATTTAGCTGACACTTTTATCCAAAGCGACTTACAATTACCAATTACAGGGACATTCTCCCTGGAGTAACTAAGGACTAAGTTAGTTCATGAGAACTAAAGAGTTTTCATGAACTAAGTTCTCATGAACCTTTGTGGGAAAAGTACTGCGGTGTGAATGCGCCTAATGTAAACTTGAATAATGTACTTCATTTGAATGTAATAATTATGTTGGTTGTTGTTTGTGGAAGCGTCAGGGAATGAGCCCCATTAACTGAGTTTTAAACATCACTTTAAATGGAAGATCCCCATAGGCCCCGCCCACTCGATCGGAGATCGGTATCGCCGATCGGCCGATACTGATTCCGGCGATCGGCCCCAAAATTGGCGATCGGAGCATCCCTAATGTAAGTTGCGCTGACAGGTCCACACACACTGCTTCCCCGCAGCGAGGCTCCCCCCGCCCTCCTGTTGACAGTTCACGAGCGTCGAGCTCTTCACCCCCCCCCCCTCGGCACGCTGATAAAATAAAAAATGTTTAATGGCATTTCATATCGAAAAGGTTGCCGACCCCTGATCTACAGTATCTATCTCTCTATCTATCTATATCTAAGCGGTTGACTAATCACAACAGAGCCGGCCAGCTAACCAATCAGAGCAGACTGGGCTCTGGTTTCAGACAGAGGGTGAAAGAGGTGCTGCAGCACAGGCAGTATGAGAAAAATAAAGAGCTTTTTGAACATTAAAGCATGGAAACACGTCACAGTAGAGGCACTAAATACTGATATGAACATGAAAACGAGCATAATGTGTCCTCTTCAATGAAAATCAATGTTTGTTGTGCGGTATAAATAAAACAAAGATATATTTCCCCTTAAACTCTAGGTATTTACATGGTTAGTATCTAAACAGACTGCTTCATAATGCTTTATTTACAGTAGTGATTTCACCCCTGCACATTATTTCTGTATTCCAGTAATTGCAAAGCTCATGGAGGGTAAGTCTGTATTTTGGCATGTGTTCGTACCAAGCTCTTGTCTGGTACTCGCGACTCCCACGCCGTACTTCTTGGTGATCTCGGCTGCAGCGTCAGCACACGGACCCTTGTTCTCAGCGAAGCCCAGGTAATTATAGGAGCCCAAGTTAATCACATCCTGCAACACCCGGCCTGAGCGACTACGAGGGAGAGCAGAAGAAGAAGATCAGACAGAGGAAACAATCAATGAGAGGAAGCTATGGTTTTTGTTTTTCCCTTACACGAAAGTCCAGTTGTAGTCGGGGGACGTCCTCTCCAACAAGTCCATTTTGGCCCCTGGCACGCCGCATAGGGGCCGGTTCCAGTTGTCTCTGATACGGATGTAGATGTTTCTGGTGTAAAAGTTCTCGAAATCCTGGTAGAGGGGCACAAAGTCCTACACATGGACGAATAAAGAGGAGGAGAGAGGGGTACATTAGCTAAGCATCAGTATGGACATATAGTTAACATTGCAGATATTTACAATGTTATTTTGGCAAGTGGTAATGTCATTGTGACCTAACAATATTTTTATTCAAGATATCCAATAGGTCATTCGGACAAAACAACATGAGAGATATCTGAAGTTTGACTACATTGCGACCAGGAAAAATGAAAATATCAAAGATATGTCAGTATTAGTATGTGGGGTATATCTAATAAAAAATGTAATATAAAATGTTATACTTGATAGAATATACAATTGAATTATGTATATTCTAATTCCAGTTTTGAGTTTTCTACGACATAATTTTGACTAGTTAAAACTTAATATACAATATATTTAAAAGAGAGGTGTCATGGCCATTTCCACTGATCATAATTCCATTGTTGAGGTATACTAAAATAGATTTATACTGTGCATTTTTCCAAACTCACATTGGTTTCTCATACAGCATCTCTGTAAAGTACTTGTATTCACTGAATTTCACTCTCTGCCTTTAACGGCTCGTTGTTGCTCCCAAAGCTCCAGCCCCCACCCTCCCTGTGAGCACAGTGTGCTCTGATTGGTCGGGACGTTGTGAATCGCGCTGAGCTCCGTGGAGGTGTTGTTTCCTTGTTTAGGATACATAGCTAAACACAGCCAAACTCATCCTGAGCACACACAAACTCACATCCGAAGTAAAAACAATAAGTGTGGCTTGATATTGAGTAAGAAAAAGGTTGATAAACGCTGTGAGAATGGGTCTGCAGAGAGAATGGGTCTGCAGAGAGAATGGGTCTGCAGAGAGAATGGGTCTGCAGAGAGAATGGGTCTGCAGAGAGAATTTTGCCACGATCCCAACTGTCTGTTATCAGCCTGCAGCCAGGGAGGAGAAATCAGCTGAGCTGCCTGCTCCCTGCACACAGATGTGTGCGTGAGGAAGTCCGTGGATTGGTCAATTTGGACCAATCAGCGGGGGCTTAACGTAACGGCTCCGCGGACGTAACGTAACGGCTCCACAGATTGGTCCATTTCGTTCCGGGTACGGCTTGACATCATGCCGTCCCGGAAGAATCAAATGGACAAAGACGTATCTCCAACGAGGCGTTTTGGGGAGGTACTTTCTGTGTTAGAGTTTTACTCGCTACAGGGTGTACTTTGAGGGTTTTGACTCTGCACACCGTTTACATGCATAAAAACCTTCATAACACACAAGGGGACGGGTAATAACCGGAAAAGCATGACACCTCTCCTTTAAAGGAAAATTAAGAGAATTAAGGATTTCTTGATTCTGAATCATGGCTACTCATAAATGCTTGGCAAAAGTTGTTCTAAATGTACGGGTCAAAATGTTGTTACAGATATCTAAAAGTACAGTATTGACTCGTATACATATAATTAAAAGCAACTTGAATTAGAGCTCTGACATGGCAAAAAGAGGTTGCAGATATCGATGATGAAAATCCATTACAGCTAATAACTGTAGAAGTCCTTGACCTACTGCAGTGAAGTGGTAGGAATGTATCAAATCTACCAGTAACATCAAAGAACTACATGCCAGGCATTTTTTGGAAAGCTTAGCTGGAAGGAATATGGTCTTTCACATGAAAACACATGACTGACAGTTCATGTTCCTTGGTTCTTGGTGGAAACATCCGTTGGGGGGAGCTAATGACTTCCCCAAGTCTATCTCACTAGCTTCCTTTCCTCAACATAACCAAATACTTTGAAACAATGGGCTTCCCTATCAAAAGTTACACAACAGGTTGAAAACAATCCCAGTGGTCAAGGACGTGTTCCAAATGTTCTGATAACTCCGCCATTGGCTGTTTACTGACAAAATGCAACCTTAGGCGCACATTACACTGAATTGCAAAGAAAAAAAAAGCGATTTAGGGGGAATATTATGATGTTATATTAGACTCTGTCAATGCGATAGTGTTTCAACACAGAGAAAGACTTATCTTATCATCAATTTCCATTTTGTGATATCATTGTGGTTGACAAGATCACATCAAATGCTCTGAGGTTTTGTTTGCAAAGTGTTTGTTTCCTCTTCAAACACTTAAGAACTGCTGCTAACAGTGTGTGAAATACGAGAGCCCCGTAGCTTTGACTGTTGGTAAACTATGTGGAGTGCAAATATCACTTTAGTCCAGTCAAGTTAACAAAACAAGAAATGGATTAAGTCTAGTTTTTGTCCATTCTTTGTCACTGTTGTTTTGACATTAACATGGACAACTTCCATACTAGGAGCACGTGCTCAGCCTAGCAAATCACTTCCATTCAACAGTGTGCTGAATGCACACATTTCTGCCGATGCGAGGACCAGCTGGCTCAATCTGGCAACAAAAAGAACATGTCGACAGTGTTCTTATGATAAATCTTACTGCTAGAAGAGTGGGCACTGTAAGTTTATCCATAGGGTATTAAATAATGAGAATAGGTAGCTAACGTTAGCTAGCTAACTAGAAAGATAGACAGCTAAAGTTGGCAAGTTGGCTAGATTGGTTATCAGATAGCTCACAATCGATAGGTAGTTAGATACACAGGAAGGCATTACAAAATGTCCCCATATGAGATTTCAGGCCCTTTTCATACGTCATCCTGCAGTCACCAACAGAGAATGGAAGCTGTATAACCATTTGGCTGCAGTGTATCTGTTAATGTTCTCTAATATAATTAATGATGTATAACGCTGCTATTGCCAAACCAGAAAGAAAACAGATTTGCCTTTAAACAGGAAGTCAGGGGGGCTACATAAATGAATACAAAGCTGTGCACTAAAGCAGGGGTTCCCAACCTTTATTGTGCCAAGGACCGGTAGATACATTAAAAAAAAAATCGCGAAACGGTTGTCAATTTTAACTGATTTTAATATTTACTCACCACCAGCAGGTAGCAACAGAGGCTAATAATTGTATGTAACAGCCTGAACAAATACTAGAACAATATGCATCCAAAACATATTAACAAAGAACCAACGTTATTCAGTTTTTAAATCAAAACGGGAAAACAGATAAATCAACGTTTTGGTTTTGTTTGTATGATTTACGGATAATCCAGTGAATGCTGGGAAAACGAGGAGAAGGCGCATTATGAAGGGTGTGTGTGTGTGTGTGTGTGTGTGTGTGTGTGTGTGTGTGTGTGTGTGTGTGTGTGAGACTGGCATTTGTTTTCAGAAGATATTATGATAGTGTCGTTCGTTCCGGTGCACTCCCGACAGCATAGCACTACATCGAGATTAAGATTAAACTAATTTATTTTGGGAACAGCCGCATATATGCCGGTGTCGGACAGACACAAACACACCGAACACACAGAGCTGAGCTGAGCAGAGCACATACACACACATCATGCGCCTTGGTGACTGACTGGACATCTCCTTCATAAAACTAATAAAAGGGGGAGTAATCGGGCAGTTCGATGTGTGTAGATGTGTGTGTGGTTAACACGTAGCAGCCTGCAGTCACTCTTAAACTGTTCTGATTAAGTTAAACACAGCGAAGGCGGTGCGTAAAAAGGCACAGCTCTTTACCGAGTATACGTCCCGCTGCCTCCTTATGTTGCAGCCATTTCATGAAGTGAAGGAGGGTTTCCTTCTATAAAACAGCTGCGGGCAGCAGATACCGTGAGAGTCCCGGACATTAATTCATAGATCAAGGCAGACTGGTTTACTCTCCTGTTTTGCCAATCCGGTGCTTAAACAAATAGCTCTACACCCCTGGCCGACATGTCCTTAAAATGAAGTCCGACTTTGAAATATATCTCAAATAATGTATGCACCACCATTTCCCCACATAAACACAACAGTCTGCAATCAAACGGTTGTCTCCTGTGCGCTCCTCTTCCTACTTGGCGCACCGGTAGCATTCTCGTGCGCACAAGAGGCTGAGACCTAAGGCTGAGCCGCCGAATCCCTCGGAACATCATAAAAGCCATTTTCAATGGTTTTCTGGTGAAAGATTAACTAGCTACTGGATGAAATAATATGACTGGTGGCATAGGTGCGAAAATTAAACACTTTTTGAAAAAAATATTATGATAAAATATTTGTATATATTTATAATTCTGCAAATATTACGATAAACTCACAGCTATTTCGCGGCCCGGCAGTAACACCTCCGCGGCCCGGTACCGGTCCGCGGACCTGGGGTTGGGAACCCCTGCACTAAAGGATCAGGTATGTTTAAACACCATATTGTGTTTGAGGCTTCTCCTACCCTCTGTTCCTCCTTCTCCCTGGCGATGTTGCATCTTTCGATCTTCCAGTAACGGAGAAAGTCTCGCAGGTAGCCGAAGATGGTCAGAATGCCGTAGCTCATGTAGGTGAAGACGGCCGGCAGCATGGGCGTCTGCTCGTAAGACTCAACGAAGGGCCGACTGTACGGGACGCCATGATGCGATGTTGCATTGACCTGGCGACATGGAAAGCAAGCATTGTAGATAAATGACATGCACATAGGAATTGCCAGTTTTCATCAAATGTATCTTCCAATAATAGTATCTGTGAGTTCATATTACTATTTATTTTCATTTGGGAAATAACAATATTATAGATTTTGAAAAATGTAAATGTTCTGGTTGGAATATGCCCACAACAGAAAAGCTTAAAAGTTGACAGAATAATCATTACAATCATGTATTAAGTATTCAAACTAAATATTCTGTTTGCTGTCGGTTTTCTGTGGACCCAGTGCAGTGGTGGAACTAAAGTATGTACTACTAGCTTCTTTAACATTCTACTACACAATAATTCAGGGGACTTGGACATTGTACTTCTAACTCCACTACATTTATTTTATTACTTTAGTTAGCACAGGCAGTATGATAACAATAAAGACTTTTTTGAACATCTACATGTCACAGTAGAGGCACAAAATAAAAATATTAACCTGAAAATGAGTATAAGACCTCATCAACCTTTCATGTTAAAATCCACTTTATATAAATGTGCAGCCTGACGTCCTGTGACTTCCTCTCCTTTTTTCCTAATGAGGAAACACAGTTTGTCTTCTGTTATAGTTGGCTGAGATTGCTGCAACTCATTTAAAGGTGACTTATGTGCAGTCTTATTGTAAGTGGAGGGGAGATAACATGGTATTAGCTCTGGTGCAGCTGTACACTAACTATACAGGGAAGAAAACACTGTTTGACAAATGACAGGGGGGAAAGCTTTTGCATTCCAAATATGGGAAGATCTAGCTTGTGTTGATGTTATGCTTTTATGTGCATTTGCAGCAGAGTGACTGATTAATAAACTCAACATGGATATGATATTTTATACAGAAACTCCACATGTTTATTTTCTGGACAGAAGCTCACTACTCTCAGACTTTATGCAGTTAGCCTTCCCCATCATGCGCGTCTCGGTGCTCATGGCTATTAGGCGCTGCATGTGACCAGTCATGCCTCCCTCTCAAATACCTTACAGAGTAGCAACGCTGACATCTGCACGCACAATAATCAGCTGAGGTTCACTCACCACTTTATCAGCCTAGTTAGCTGAAACATGAGCAGAAGAAACAGGGTTTTTCCCAGCACTGCAATGGCTGGTGAGGACAATGACCTGTCAACAGTTATTTAGCTTCAAAATGTCAAGATGGAATTGATTTGAAGAGAACAACCAAGGAAGATGCAAGTATTTTAGCATGTTACTATAGCTTGAAGTAACAGAAAATATCTTTGTTATGGTCATTGTGGAGTGCAAACTTGATAAACAAAGTCATTCACTCACAAGCAGGATAATTAATGTATTATTATTATTATCTTGCAGCTTATTTTAATAAGCTGCAAGATTTAAGCTCATGTGTTTTCCTTTTCCTGTATTGTGTTCTATAGGTTTATGTGCATGTAAATGATCTGCAAAGGCTAAAATCCCTGTGTTTCCTCCAGAGGGAGTTTCTCTCCCACACACTACCCCCCACCGCCTGCCTGCTAGGCCTACATTGGACTCTTTGTTTACTTCTGTAACATAGTGACAGCACTATGTAACACTCATGCTTCTATTGGCTAGGCTCCAACACATTGTACCTAATATGCTAAGGGTGGGACATCTCTAAGCAGTTGACCAATCACAACAGAGCCGGTCAGCTGACCAATCAGAGCCAACTGGGATATCACAGTAGAGGCACAACATATAAATATGAACCCTAAATTAAGGCCCTTTAAAAAAAGGAAAAACTCTGTATCACAACATGACGATGAGTCTGAACGTTCACAATGTCTGAGGGGACATATTCATTTTCACAGAGGGTGAATCCAATGGTGGAAAATGCATGAGCGCCCTAGGAAAATGTTGTTTTGAGGCACGCAGTAGTCTCTATGGACAGCAGGTGTATTGGTTCAAAGTCAACCTATTCACTAACTCATCATCTTTTTTTATGGAGGGAGTTGCACACTTTTACAAACTTTTATAGCCAAATATGTGCCACTGAAGTGTACACCATCAAATGAGCCTAAATGCTGACGAGTATGTTATAGTTTAAAAAACGGAAATAAGAACACAAAGTAATATACTAAAGTGTGCACCACATAACAATTACCCTACTTACTAAGATGAACTATGTCTAAAATTATGATTTCATCCAGGGAGAGAAATGAACTGCCCCAAGTTGTTTGACTAGCTCTGATGTAAGTGCATCATGAGCTACTTGATTATTTTAGAAATCGTGGTTATATCTTCGTCACAAGTTAACATATGTTACCACATTTGGAAAGAGGTCTGCAGAAAGACCTCGTCTTAAATTCGGCATACATATTATGAACTTAAATTCAGTGCAATATGTCACGTTTTGGAGTTGTCACACCCGCCTTTTTTAAATCAACCTCCCTCTTATAAAATAACTGAGTGGGCGGTGGAACGCAACACGAGACCCCTCATAAAGTTTTGATTTTAACACATTTAGATAAGAATTGGTGCAATTCTGATGCTGCCGAATTGAAAAGAGTATCGTAACGATTCAGATCAATGGATTTATTCATATCTTTTGGGTGAATATAACTTTAAGAAAGGGCGACAACTCTTTAAACTATAGTATTTCACACGGGATTTGGCGTTCACTCGGTAATCGAGAAAAGCAAAGCTCGATGACAACAAACTGTCAGATAATAAGGAGCAGGGCTCGGTTAATACCAGTTAATACATGTAAGCTGACTAATATCGCCTAAGTTCATAAAAATGACAACATGACAGCATTTCTGGGTGTTTCCGGATCCACACAACAGATGCCTCCCAGGCTTCACCAGCCTCCACTCCCCGTCCCATCCCGGGCCTCACCTCCTCCTCCTCGGGCTGGCCGTGGTGCTTGGACTTCTTCTCATGGCAGCGGTAGAGGCTCTTCGCCAAGCCGTTTCTCTCCGGCTTCAGTCCGTTCTTCACACGCTGACACACGTCCCCGTTCGCTGGCTTGGTGCTGGGGCTTTCGGTCATTGCTGGCCAACGATTGTGGAGCCGCTACGGTAACTTGCATGTAGGAACACGGCGCCTGCCTGCGGTGCAAGGCGGTGACAGTATCCGAGCTGGGAACGTTTACAACCACACTACAAACTCTCTCACACACGCCCAACACACACATGCATCACACACACCGAACCCACACTATGGAACCTGAAAATACAGACGCTAGATACCGGAAATAAACGCCCATTATTAATAAGGGAGCATTGGAGGAGGGGCGGGGCCACGTGTTTCACATTTAGAGAAGGGCGGGGCTTGTCGACAAAAAACTTGATTGACACTTGAATCGTTAAGTAAGGGGTTGTGACATTTTTTACAGTGGGAAAAATAAACGGTAAAGTTACATCAGAGTCTCTGATGTAACTTTACCATTTATTTTTTCCCACTGTAAAAAATGTCACAACCCCCTAATATAATATTCGGCATACGGCACGAATATTATATTGTTGTTAAAAAATAGTTTTACTCAAAAATAAAACTGAAATGTAATTACATTTTCACAACACATCATTAAATATGGCAATAAAAGCCACTTGTATCCAAATGACAACTTTTAGCTGGAACTAATATTACCAGCTAGATTTTTTATTAATAACCAATTTCAAAAGATGTATGGATGGAAAATGTTCACATTAGTGAAGCAGGAGGAATATAAAGTAAAATATAACCTAAAACTCTTACACTGGTTATAAACAAGAGGTCAAATAAGTGCCATGGTATATTAAATACAAATACTGATGTTATAGAGGTCCCGATTTGAGTTTTTTGTTAATGTATTCATTTGCAAAGATATAATGTAACCCTCACCCTAACCCTAATGTAATAGTGGTTGATAAAAAGTAATTTAATATTAATATAATTGATACCAGTATAAAATTATTGACATTTACCATGTCCCTTTAGGGGCTCCGTAGTAAAGGAAGTACAAGTCTAAATATTTTGTAGAAATTAAAGTTAGGCTACTCCCTCTGGTGTTTAAATGTTATATTGCTCGAACATGTGTCACATTTTCATTCTTACTAACTACAGATGAAGGGACAAACAGTGGGTTACATTTAACGGGATTACGTAATTATTAGACATAACAAGTATTCCCATACAGTTCCATAAACAATAGGGATTACCAGCTGGATGACAATGATACAATACATTTGAAAACAAAGATGTATATCATAAGAATACATTTTTCCTGAATTTCCTTTTTGTTTTTTTACTTAGGCTACATTCATTCAGCTTTAAGTATCCTTTTTTTAAATGGAGGTGGCCATGTATTTGTACTTAAAGGCAGATGCACCATAAATGAAATGTTTAAGACAACAACGAAAAGATGTTTCAAAATAAAAATACAGTAGTGAATGATTTTGGGTTTGTGGTTTATTTTTATTTTCCCATTAATGATCATCATGTACAGAGGGACGTGCGTAAATGCGCAGCGCTTTGGAACCATGCCTCTGTCTACAGGCTGCTGTATAATTACAACTGTCGCGATAATGAATGAGAACATTTTGTATGTAAACATATTAACACTCTGGCAACGTTAATTTTCCGGGTTTTTATTTCAGTTCAAAATGTTAATTTGTTTGTCTTGCAATTAGATACATATAATTTAAATAGACGTCAAGTGCTTTTGTCCCACTGGTCTTTCACTATATCCAATGTATTGTAATTGCTTTTATGAACTGCACGTACACGCGCTCAAATCGTTCTTGAAAGAATCCCAGAGTTCGGCACAAGTTGGACTGTCACTATGGATACAGGCAGCTGCGAGTGCGCATTAAGAGTTCAACAGGAACAACAAATGGGCTGATCCATTTCCTCGATCATCAACAGGTAGGGAATAAACGACAAGGGTTGGGAGGGTTTTTTATAAATGTATTCCGTTACAATTAACTACCTGTTAAAAAATTGCCCCAGTAACCTAATCTGAGTATCGAAATATAAAAGGAATGTAACCTGATTACTTTCCGTTACTTTTGGTTAACCTCAATATCAAGGAAAATAAATGAAAGAGAAAAATAAATATAAATAAGATGTTTTTTTTACTTAAGAGTATTATGTGAGACAATAGAACAATGCAACCTTAGTAAAGAAGAAACCAGTGGTGTTCAGTAACTAAGTACATTTACTCTGTACTCAAGTACAATTTTGAGATACTCGTACTTTACTTGAGTATTCTCATTTTATGCTACTTTGTACTTCTACTCTACTACAATTCAAAGGTAAATGATGTACTTTACTCCACAACATGTATTTGATACCTTTAGTTACTTTACAGATTTGGATTAATGATGTGAAATATAATAAACTCTTAAATCAGACTTTAGTTCCACCTGCAGTAAATTCACAAGCTACCCTGCAGTATACAAAGTCATTCAAACTAGCTGCACCTCTACCAGCTTGGAAAACACTTTAATGATCAATAATTATAAAACATATCATATTATTCTGAAATGGACCAATCTGCACAATGACTACTTCTACTTTTGGTACTTTAAGTATATTTTGATGCTTGACTTTTGTACTTTTACTTGAGTCACATTTTTGACTGCAGGACTTTTACATGTAATAGGGTTTATCATATTCCTAGAATCTGGTACTTCTACTTTTACTTAAGTATAAGATCTGAGTACTTTTTCAACCTCTGGAAGATCTGCACGTGTGTCCATTAAAGAGGGTTTCATCCCTCCAATTCTATCTATCTATCTATAATAAAGATAGTTATTATAAAAAATGTGTCGTCTGATCAGAGATTTTATTTAGAAGGAATCCTACCTTTCATGAAGCATATTCAGGCAGTCTATACACCAACACTGAAACACACCTTTTTGTGTGTCCTTATTACATAATCCTGTTGCATGTTGAGTCACTGCTATGATAAATGATTGCTGTGAGAGTTAATATATCTGATCTAAATTGTATGTTTTATTGACCTACTGTACTACAGCCTATAGGTCATGATGAGACATCCTGCACTGTAAAAACAGTTCCGATGGTGAAATCAACAAAACTCAATTTTTTTATGTAATTTACTTGCCCTAAATTAGTTTTTTTTCAATGTGCGTTTAAATAAGTAACACGTAAGCAACAATGAGAACATGTTTTAAGAACTCATTCATTTGTAAATTCATATCACATTTTCTGAACTTTCTTTAAAAAGACGTTTTGGAAAACGTAATAAAAATGCTTTTTTCAACGCCACGGTCATGCCACGCCCTCAAACGAGAATACCGCGGTGTGAGACTTCCTGTTCCTCTTTGCACTGGTTCTTCAGCAGTTGGACATGTGTTTGCGTTGGATCCTCCTCAAACCATCATAAAACAAGTAAGCATGCCACCTGAGTTATTAATTACTGCTTTTTAACTAGAAAGTGTTATTTACTTTTCTTGTATTCACTGTTTTGAACGAAACATCGACATTTTAATGCATGCCAGCGCCATTACTGCTGTTAAAGTTAGACTCAGCCCTGTCGTGCTCATGTAGTCTATTTCTTCACGCAAAGTTGTTGGGCAAAGTTTGCATCAAGTGCTTACCGACGCAATTCTGTTAAAAGTGGTTAAGTTAAGAGTACGTATTAAGAATCAACTCCGCAAACTGTTCCCCTATGCCGCTCTAAGCGTTGGCCCGGGCACCGTGATGCGGCCGCGGGGCTCAGAGGCTCTCCTGCCGTGCATGTTGTGCGATAAAATACCTCCGTTAAAACTATTCCCTACTACTTTATAACCCAGCGGTTATGTAAGAGTAAGTTACTAATGCGCCTATTTGATATTAATTCCTCTATATGTATTTCGCCGTTTGTTTTACTGTGAGCAATGAATTATCTTTCTACAATCTTAGTGTACCCAATTTAAACTCATAGTCTGCAGTTACAGCATCGAGTTGTTATTATACAAAATTAAGTGCAAACTATATTTTTCATGCTTATGCAACGCTATAGATGCAAATCCATGTTGGAATCTGCAGGAGAGTTAACGTTAGCTCTCAGTAGAAAGTCACGGAGGTGACTTCAGTTAAGGTGCATTCAGGCGCAATTCAGTAAAATTGTGTATTGGGCGAGGAGGCATGTATAACGTCAGCAAGATGTGTTCAATCTAGAACAGTAAAATGCAGTCTTTAGCGAGAAATATCAATAAATACAGTTTTATTAAGGAGATGTTTTACTACAACATAAAGTAGATATTAGACAGTATGCAAACGAGATAAAGGAGTGTATATTGAAGTTATTAGGATCTGCTGTGTAGAGAATCATGGAATTGTACTGGTATCTAACAATACCATCCTTAATAAATGCCATCCTTATAAATGTATATAAATACAATACCGTTTTAAATGATACTTGTGTTTTAATGTTTGATTCCATTAATTAATTAAATATGTTTTGATGAATTCTACTGAAATGATTGTTACATTGTCATCATGTAACTATTTTGTTCTTTCATTTGCCTCACCAGAAAACAGTCACACCTCCTCTTGCCTCCTGCTATGGACTTCAGGTTCACATTAGGTAAGCCCTTGAGTGTGTCAGACTAGTTGTTGTTTCAGAGGTTAATTCAAGACGTGTTATGTTTGCATACCAATATAATGAGCATCAGGTAAACGTACCCATTTCTATTTTTTTAATCACAGATGGGATACCACTCAAAGTGATATTTTAAAACATTATCGACTCCATCATGGAAACCTTTGGACAGAAACGTGCCTTGCCCTGCATTCATGTAGACTGGCCTGCGCTCTCACTTATCAAGATAAAAGTTGAAATAATCGTCGGTTCTTTTTATTCTAGGACCCATGTGCCACTTTCAGGGTGCGTACGGGTGCTGGAAATCCTTGAAAATGCTTGAAATTGTACGAGGTGTTTTCAAGGTTTGAAAAGTGCTTGAATTTTGGGAATGGTGCTTGAATTTGGGATAAAGTGCTTGAAATTGTAAATGCTTTACTTCGCTTTTTAGATTAAAAGAAAATAAAGAAGTCGGAGCGCGCTTAATTGCTTCGCTTTTACATAAAACAGCTCCGCTCCGGCCTTCCCGCGCAATGCGCGTGACCGGCAAGTGTTTTTGTTACGTGTGTGACCTGGGCATTCTGATGAGAGTGATAGATGACAGTATGCCAGGAGGTTGCCATTTCAACGAGCGTTGGCTAGCAGAAGACAAATACAAGCCATGGCTAAGACGAGGGT